TTCCACAAACATTTTGCAGTCCCTTTGTAGTTACCCCCAAAACCAGTAGAGGAAGATTCAGGACCACCAATAGAAAGTCTTTGTTTTGTCTCATGAGGCGACCCAGTCACTGAAAGGGTCCATTCCAATGACAGGAAGAACAGTTTGGAGACAACCAAGACAGAAATGTCTTTTAGCAAATATGGGTCAATTTCACATATTTTAAAAAATTTTAAAACTAGAGGGTTTGCTGGAGAGAGACAAAGAGATAAAGGAAGAAGGCATCTATCCAATAGGGGAGGGGTCACACTGCAATCCCTTCTCCTCCATTTCTCCATCTAGTCAGGATTTAGGGTGTGTATACACACACACACACACACACATACACACACACACACACACAAACACACAGTGTAAAACTGGGCCAGTTTTAAGTGTTAGGTGGATAATTACACCTTTAACTGATCCTCCTCCTAAGTTGGTCACCTGCTGGTTGGGGAGTGTCCCTTTAATGCGTAAATATTTCCTGGCATTTGGAAGATTCGACCGCTTGTCCCCAACAGAGCTAGCCCATATTGTTTGTTTTTTGGAACCCGAACCACAGTTAGTGTGGTAAAAAAAAAAAAGCAGTCATCTCCCAGAAGGGGCCTGCTTCCATGACCATTGGCTCTCTGTGTGTGGGCTGGTCACTGTCACTGGCAGAGACCAAAGGCAGGTGCCAAAGGTGAGGCTGTATCCAAAAAGGAAGCCTGCCATGGTTGTAATTCAACCCTAGTAAGTATTGTATTGGTCCACTGATTTACAAGAGATCACTCAACTAGGCATCCTCTTGCCCTTCAGGGTCCAGTATTACCTCTTTATTCATCTCAGGGTTCATGTTAATGCAGGGACCTGTCAGTAGGTGACTTGTTTGACCTAGGAGTGGGGAAGCCCTGCTGTTGATAGTCATTTTGATTTAGGCCAAGTGGGGTATTGTTTATTGAATTAACAGGCAACACTTGATTTTAATTTAGACTTTATTGAGTTTCTATTAAATCCAGGGCAACTATGGCCTCTTGAGTTGCTTTAGCATTAGCCAGCATTGACGGTGAACAGGACTTACATTTGTCAGGAGTCCTCCTGAGAAACAATTGTTGGATTCAATACTCAATTCCTCCTCTTCAGACTTGTCAAGTCATTATGCTGCATGTCACCTGCTCTCTCATTAGCCCACTCTGTCATCACCACTGTTGGAGAACTTTGACTTCAGCTAGCATCTTCCATTAACAATCTGCCCAGGAGGTTATGAGCCTCATGTAGGGTGGGCAGCTCTCCAGACCATAAAACTCCACATCAACAAGGCTTGTGTGGACTGCAGCCCAAAGACTCCTTGGGGACAGGGGTTGTACTTCCACCCACTAATTGTACAGAATCCTTTAGTCAGGATCCATTTTCCATCTTGCAGTCAAGTGTTTCATTTCATCCCATCAGGTAGAGCTTACTGTCTATTGTCAGATACACTGTATATATCCAGGCGGCCCTTCATCTGCTTCCTGGGTTAGATCCTTAAGGAGAGATTGGGCCTTAGGATGAGAGAATATGACTCCTCTACATGAGAACTGATCTCTCCTTCCTGACCCTCCTCTTTTGTGTCTTCTATCTTCATGACTTTACGTGTGGTTACCAGCAAAAGAAAAGGGGAAATTGTTCTCACCACTGTCGTGGTATCGTGTGCTGCTTATTCCTCTAGAGGGCACCAATCCTCTTCTCCAGGATGCTCCCCTCCATTTGGTCTCCAGGTTAAGTTGGACTCCCACCTCCTTTTTGGCCTGTATCTTGGTGAGAAGCATCCCTGAGCAAGGCCCAGCTTGGGTATACCCTTCTGTTCAGGTCCATAGTTCTCAGAGCATCCAACACCTTCCCTAGTGTGCAGGATGAACTACTACCCAGGGAAACTTGGCACATCTGACCTAAAAGCCAATTTTTATGGTTTGGGTTCATTGAAACACTCTTGTTACTGTTTGTTGTTACTGTTGTCACCTGAGGGTAATGAGACACAGGGAAAGACTGCAAAAAAAATAGAGTGTACTCAGAGTAACACCATGCAAAACTAACCTGGTGGTGTTCCAGATGTGAGCCCCAACCACTTGAGGCTATCTGATAGCAATTTGCTGATTGATTATCCAACTAACTGGGTAGACTCCTGACAATTCCTTGAAAATCACCAAAACCCCGTCTTTATCACCCCATGTAGTGAGTTTCAAGATTTGGAAGTTGATCAAAGAAGTGATCATGAGACATTAAAATTAACTCAATGAGTTGTAATTTGGGTGGTGCTGGAACAAGCTGAATTAGAGGGGAAGGCCCTCATAGCAGATCTACTGAGACAGTGGCATGGGCCACCACCCAGAAAGGGATGAGGGCAATGGAAATCCCAATGGACAGGAGAAATTGCAGAAGGGATTATATGCCTAGAAGATGTCACTCAGCAGCTAAATTCGTAGTGTTTGGGACAGAGAGTTCTGGAAGGTTGTATTACAGTGTGGATGATGGTTTGTTTCCTGAAATTTCATGTTTTACAATTTGATATTGGGAGATATGTGGCCTAGTGGACAACGATTAGATCATGGTGATCGTATCATGGAGGCAGCACTCTCATTAATAGATTAATGATGTCTTACGAGATCCAACAAGTTCTAGTTCTCATGAGAAGGAGTTAGTTCTCCTGGTTGCTATTTTTAAAAAGAGAGCTGACTATAGCCATCTCTTTCTCTTTTTGCATATGTCTGACATCCTCTGTGTTCCTGTTGGCCATCCTGTAAGCTATCTGCCATTTCATGATGCTTTGGACTTCCCAGCCACCAAAACAGTCAAAATAAACCCCTATTCTCTTAAATGTTTGCTATAGGGTGCATGTGCTCACCAGAGACAGACAGAAAGAGAGAAATCATCTCCCAGGGAAGATGGGCACACCGCAGTCCCTTCTCCTCTAGTCTCCTATTGGGCTCTTGGGCACACACACATATGCACCCAGTGTGAGGTGGTTTTTTTTTGTTTTTTTTTTTTTTGTGTGTGTGTGTGTGTGTGTGTTTTAAGTTTATTTATTTATTTATTTAGGAGAGGATTTTTGCTATAGGACGCGTGTGCTTGCCAGAGAGACAGAGAGAAAGCAAGAAATCACCCCCCCGGGGGGATGGCCATGATGCAATCCGTGCTCCTCCATTCTCCTCTTGGGATCTTGGGCACACACGCACACATGCCCAGCGTGAGTTTAAGCCACTGGGTCTGGGACTTGAATCTTGGTTCACTACATGGGAGTCCAGCGACATAGCCATTATGCCAACTGCTGGTCCCCACCCAGTGTGTTTTAAGCTGCCAGATCCAAGACCAAAATTGAGGTTTGAACAAGAGCCTAATCAGATTGAAGGTGCTCAGGGCCAATGATATATCCCACTTACCTCAGCAGTAGCTCACTGATTAGCCTCCTGAACATATATCTACACCACTCTCTTCATCCAATCCCATTCACTACCATGGTTCACACCATGCCTCCTCACTTCCAATTTATTCTATTGTCCATGTTGCCAATGTTCAGTCTGCTCATTCACTCCCACTCTCTCCAGCATTACTCATGTTTGCCATTTCTCAAGTAACTCACCCCATTGGATATTTCTCCTTACTCTTCTCCATTCATGCACACGTGGCCCTTCATCACCCTCTGTCCCTTGTCCCCTAATTCCAGTCCATTTACTCATCATTCTGTTGTTCATCCCCATCCCTTTCCCTCTAGGTCGATGCCTCGCACACCTTTCACCTTCATGCAGCTCATAAGTTGCCTTATGTGTCCCAGGAAGCAGGAGTCCAAGATCCACCAGAAATGGTAAGATCTGATTCCCATCCCTCCTCACTATAGGATGACCTTTAATGGACCTGAAATCCCAGAAGATTCTCTAAGTAGGAAGATGAAATCACTTCATTTCTTTTCCCCACAGGCATCCTCCCAGCACACTGCCCCAGAAGAGAGCTGGTCAACCCATTTCCTCTCCTAGAAGAGGCATTGACTGATAGGTCTGACTTGAACAGTTCATAACAAAGGGAGCTCTCAGGATTTTTTTTTTTTTTGGGGGGGGGGGTGTTGGGGGGTTGTTTTTGTTTGCAGGAAAGTCCTAGGAAGACACAGACAGGGTCTTGAGTCTAAGTTACTCACCTATATTCATAGATCCAAACAATGCCCCTGCCCAGGTTTTACAGTGTGGTTTGTCTAGTTCTACCAAAGAGAAGGCCCCAGTTAAAACCCCAGAAGCATGAGGCCCACAAATACAGTAATTCACAAGCAAGACCTCTTGTTCTGCAGCAAATGTCCTGTCAAGATTGTCTCTGTATCCACTTATGCCATTACTCTCAAATTGTTTCTCACCTTGGAAAATACATCACAGCAGTGAGTAACCTTGGGAGTTCCTCAACCTCCATGTGGATTTGTATCTTTGTAAGAAGTATCTTTACAAATGAAGTAATTTAAGTCATTTTGTTAAGATATGGAAAGATACTGGGTCTTAGTACAGGATCTTTTCACAGATGTCATTAAGCATACTATGTAAGAAAAGTAAGGGCCAGCAGATGGTGTAATGGTTACATCACTGGACTCCCACATAGTCAACTGTGGATTGAGTCCCGGACCTAGTGGCTTGAACCTCACACCAGGCACATGTGTGTGCATGCCCAAAATCCTGAGAGAATGGAGGAGAAGGGATTGCAATGTGGCATCCCCCCAAGGTGGGTAATTTCTCACTTTCTATCTGTCTCTCCAGCAAGCACTTGTGCCCTATAACAAACATCTCTCTCTAAAAGAGAAAGAAAAAGGAAGAAAGGGAGGGAGGAAGGGAGTCCCAGTCTCAACTATTTTAGGTTAAGCTAATGTGGTAAAGCTGACCTGAAAATCACTTTATTAGGCACCTTCAGGAAAGTAATGCCTATGTGCCTTTGGAACTGATTAAATATCTGTTGTTCTAGCTGCCTGGTTATTCACTTAAAAAATTAAACTCCATAAACATATCAAATTAAACTAAATATGTTTTAAACATTTTATTTGCTAAAAAGGTAGTACATCCACATAGTACAATTTTCATGAGCTATGAAAGGAAACACAATTGTCTCCCTCCCAATTCCATCTCCTCCCTCAGCCACTATTGTCCCTTCCCCAAGGTAATCAGGGTTACCAACTTCTTTGTGTCTCTTTCCAGAAATAGTTTATGCATATACAATAAGCTATGTACTTACCATTTTTTTCTCCTTTTTATACACAAATGGTAACATGTTATACTCACTATCCTGCACCTTGCTTTTCCTAACTAATAACGTAACTTGGAGATTACCCCACATCACTACATAAATGGTATCTGAGTTCTCTTTATTTATTCATTTTGGTCTGCCTAGTACTTTGCTGAATGAATATACCACAAGTTTGGGAAGCAGAACCCTGGTGGTATCAACTGGACAGCTTCTAATTTTTTCACAAACAGTACATCAATGAATATCCTCTGTATGTGTTCAACTTTTACACATAATGAATATATACATTCCTAGAAGTAGAATTGGTAGCTCAAAAACCACATGCATGTGTGGTTTTGGTTACTTTTGAATCATTATTCTTTTAATGAGAAGAGTTTTTCATGACTTTTTATTTGCTGGAGATTCACATGGGGGCAGAAAGCAGGGCCACATTCTAGGCAGATGAGAGTTTTTCTAACAATGAGGATTTTTCTTCTTGCATTTGTTAATTCTTTCAGAACTTTGCTTCTCCCAAGTCAGTAAATGGAACCCTACAGCTGAACCATTCTCTTCCTTCTAGCACCTCTGTAACTGTTCCATCAGTACAGACTACTTTCTGCAAACATAGCTTACCTGGCTGATTCCTTGTCAAGGGCCTTGCCTGTTTTTCTTAAAACCCAAATGGTCTAGGAAATATCCTACCTCCTGTCTACCCACACACTGTGTTATCATCATTATATCTATATATGGTTTTGCACCTCAGGGTATATCCCAAACCTCAGCTAAGAGTTCCTACCAGTGCCATCTCACATCTACAGCTTTGAGCACTCTGAAATCTCCTGCAGAGCTACGTGATTTCCTCTGCCTCGGGCAGCCCTCTCATCAAGGTTTCAGCTGTCTTCCTATTTTGTCAGATACAGAGATTACACCACTTCTTCTTTTTCTCCCACAGCTTTTGGAATGAAGACTGAGATGAAAACAGAAAGACTGGCTTTACTCTCTATATTTAAACCAGAAGTCTGAACATACTTTTAAAATATTAATTAAATAGACACAACCTTCCTTTAGTGTATATAACATACTGTTGATTTACTTTCTAATGGGCAATGAGCTTTGATTTCCTGGTATGGCCTCTCCCATGAGCTTTCTTTCCTGTATGGGTTCTCTGATGTACAATAAGGTTTGATTTTTGGGTAAAGGCTTTCCCACATTCTGTACACTTATAGGGTTTCTCTCCAGTATGAGTTCTCTGATGTACAGTGAATGTTGATTTTTCTCTGAAGGCTTTGCCACACTCACTGCATGCATAGGGTTTCTCTCCTGTGTGTGTTCTCTGGTGTATTATGAGCTGTGACTTCTGACTAAATGCTTTCCAACACACAGGACATTCATAGGGTTTCTCTCCTGTGTGGATTCTCTGATGTATAATGAGCTTTGACTTTTCTCTGAAGGCTTTGCCACATTCATTACATTTATAGGGTTTTTCTTCTGTATGAGTTCTTTGATGTATAATGAGATATGACTTCTGGGAAAATGCTTTTTCACATTCATTGCATTCATAGGGTTTCTCTCCTGTATGACCTCTCTGATGTAACATGAGATAGGATTTCTGAGAGAAGGCTTTCTCACATTCATTACATTCAAAGGGCTTCTCTCCTGAATGAGTTCTCTGATGTACGCCAAGGTTTGATTTTTGGGTGAAGGTTTTCCCACACACATCACATTCATAGGGTTTCTCTCCTGTATGAGTTCTCTGATGCACAATGAGGGTTGATTTCTCATTGAAAGACTTCCCACACTCAGTACATTTATGAGGTTTCTCTCCTGTATGAGTCCTTTGGTGTATAACGAGAGTTGATTTATCACTAAAAGTTTTCTTACATTCATTACATTCATGAGGTTTCTTTCCTGTATGACTACTGTGATGAATAATCAAATCAAGCTTCTGTATGAAAGATTCCCCACATTTAGTGCATTCATAGGTTTTCTCTCCTGTGTGGGTTTTCTGGTGGACAATGAGGTTAGACTTCTGAGTGAAGGCTTTTCCACATTCATTACATTCATAAGGTTTTTCTCCTGTATGAGTCCTGTAATGTATGATGACAGTTGACTTTTCTCTGAAGGCTTTTCCACATTCAGGACACTCAAAGGGTCTCTCACCTGTGTGAGTTCTCAGGTGTATGATGAGCTGAGATTTTTGGCTAAAGGCTTTTCCACATTCAGTACATCCAAATGGTTTCTCTCCTGTATGAGTTCGCCAATGTACAATGAGGTGTGATTTCTTGCTAAAGGTTTTCCTACATGCTGTACATTCAAAGGGTTTTTCTCCATTTTTAATTCTCTGATGTAGACTAAGACCTTTCTTTCGCTTGAGGGCTTTCCCACACTCTTTGTATCCATAAGGTTTCACTACAGGATTTGCTTTCTCATACTCAGTATGGAAGAATAATTTTGCACATCCATTGTCATGTTTCTTTTCCACAGAGTTTCTACTAAATACATCTAAGTTATCTACCATATTATTTCCAAATGGTTCATATTTATGGGGTCTCTGTATGGAAGCCACAAGGTTTGTACTCAGATGAAGTGTGCTTTCAAATTCATTAAAGTCATGAGCACTCTTAGTAGTAATTGTTTTCTTGTCAGGGAATACAACTTGCATCAACAGACATTCATCTTGGTCAACCTGATGCTGTCTCTTGATCTGTTCACCAACTTGGCAGACCTCTAGAAAAAAGTACAATAAACAATCTTTATAGTTTGATATTATGGAACAGAACTTCTTTAAAAATGCCCTGCCATATGGAAGCTGGTACTATCTTCTTATTTTATCAAGGTTCCTATAGAGAGTCTTTTACTACATTCCTACTTGCTAGGCTTTTTGTTACCAAGGACAACCCCCAACACCTAAATCTTTCTTACCTTTCCTTTTATATCATCTCTGACTTCCATCTATCAATTCTGGCCTCAATGCTCTTAAATTTGTTATCAATATAAACTGTTAACTGTATCCTACTTATATTATTTCCACATAGTAAGAAATGCAATGGTATGATTATGGGATCCAAGTCTTATAACAACTCTGATTCAGCATTCTCAGTGAATGACAGAAAAATCTAGATTAACTTGACAAAATAAAGAAAAATGTAAAAATCTTTGCCTAACCTGAATTCATCCAGGTATCCATCTAAGCTCCTATTCAGTCTTTCAACACTACCCTCTCTGCTCCTGTCTATACTGTTTCCACTAAAAACTATACCTGTTATTAACTCCATACATCTCCTCATGTTCCCACAAACACATGTTCTCCATATTTTGCTGTATTCAGAATCCAGATAATTGTCAGGAGATGGTTCAGTCTTTTCAAAAAAGCTTACTCTGATCTAACTATGTAACTTAAACTTGTGTTAACGTCGTCTTTAAAAAATTTTTTTCTTAATTTACATTTAATCACTATATATCTTTACAGTATATAGTATTGCTTTTTCCAGCACGAATACAGTGCATATCAGTCAAGACAAAGACATTACAATATACATTATTATCAGCAAATAACTTTTCATTTTTGTGTTAACTAAACGTATTGTTTTTTTTTAACCCCCGTTCCCCTCCCTCCTTCTGTTACCCATCCCCATATTACCCCTATCCTTACTTTCTCTAGTATCTACAGTTGCCCTCCCTGCTGGCCATCTATACCATTCATTTAAACAGTTAAAACAACAAAGTCTTGGGTCCAGCAGATGGTGTAGTAGTTACAGCTGGACTCCCACATGGCCAACCACAGTTTGAGTTCCAGACCTGGTGGCTTGAAAATCACACCAAGCATGTGTGCGTACATGCCGAAGATCCCAGGAGGAGAATGTAGGAGAAGGGATTGTGGCATGGCCATTCTCCCAGGGGATGAACTAACACTTTCCCTCTCACCATCTCTGTCTGCCTCTGTCTCTCTCTCTCTGGTGAGTGCATGTACCCTATGGGGAAAAAAAACTCTTAAAAAAAACCCTTGCCTTTAATTCCATGTTTCATCAATTGCAAGATGTACATTATTTCAGACTTTAACATTCCTAAATCTAGATACACCTTACAGTTGATGTCATATCATATATTAATTGGTGGTCATTCTTCTTTCTTGGTAATGTCTTAAAATGGTATCTTAAAGTCAATAAAATGTGGTAAGTATTCTTTGCATATATACTGAGCTTTAATCATTTTTTGTAATATACTTTTTTTCAAAATTTCATATGAAAAATGTCAAGCATAAAGAAAAGTTGAAATACAATAATGACATATATTACCACTTAGAGTCAATTATGTTAACATTTTTCCATAGTCATACTGAATTTTAAAATGGATTATACAGCAGTGGTTTCCCTTCTGTGACTTTCTTTCTTTGGACAGCAAAGCATTCATTCTTAAACAGATATGAACAAGAATCACTGGAAGAGTTTTTAAAATGTGCTTGATGTGACCCAAGCATCTGGTAAGAAGCAGTATGGCCCATGTTGTTAAGGTTGTGAGCTTTCTAGCCCAGGAGCGCATCCTGGATTAGCCTTTCACTAAGGTCGCTCTGTGACCTACACAAGTTACCTAATCTATTTGTATCTTACTTTTTTTTCACACCTGTGAAACAAAACAGACCCAAATAGATGTTAAGAAAATTAAATTACAAATTACATATAACAGGGGCCAACAGTTAGCGTAAAGGCTATGTTGCTGGACTCCCACGTAGTCAACCGTGGTTCACGTTCCAGACCTGGTGGCTTAAAACTCACGCCGGGCGCGTGTGCGTGCATGCCCAAGATCCTGAGAGGAAAATGGAAGAGAAGTTGATTGCGGCATGGTCATCCCCCCGGGAGGTGATTTCTTGCTTTCTGTCTCTCTGTCTCTCTCTGTCTGGTGAGCACATGAGCCCTATAGCAAAAACCTCTTTAAAAAAATTACATATAACAGGACATGCATAATACATGAGAAATGCTTTAAAATGCTTGCTACTATTTTAATAACTACTATTATTATGATCATTAAGAGCCACCACCTTACTGTAAAAAGAAGTTAGGAATATCTCTACATACTTAACATGTTCTTGAATATTTAGGAAACAGTGAATAAAACTGTATACAATAGACTATCATTTTCCTAACGAAGCAAATGAAAATATAAATATATATTCATAGAAGTTCATGTTGCTTAATTAAAAAATGATGGAATGGTTAACCTTTAAGTTTTAATAAAGGTTACCTATGGGGAAAGGAAGACAAAGAGTAGAATGGAAAGGGAAAGCTAGACTTCTCTGAATATACCCTGTTTTTTAGATTTTTACTTTGGAGCCAGGTAAATCTTTCACATATTTTCTTTCATATGTAAATCTTTTGTATGTAAATATGAATTTACATATACTCTTTCTAAATATGAATTTACATATAATATTTCATATGTAAACATGATTACCTCAGTTGATTCACTCACTATAGCCATATAACAGTCTCAGAAACATGGGATGTCCTTCCACTTTTTTGTGTCATTTTCAATTTCTTTTTTTAGCTTCTCACAGTTTTCCTTGTGGAGGTCTTTAACTTCTTTGGTTAGATTTATCCCTGAGTATCTTATACATTTGGTGGCTATGGTAAATGGAATAACTTTTTTTAGTTCTATCTCCATCTGCCTGTTGTTTGTATATAGAAATGCTATAGACTTCTGTATATTAATTTTGTATCCTGCAACTTTACTGTATTCGTGCATTATTTCCAGAAATTTTTTCATGGAAATCATTAAGTTTTCTATGTACACAATCATGTCATCTGCGAATAGAGAGAGTTTTACCTCTTCTTTTCCTATTTGGATTCCTTTAATTTTTTCCTCTTTTCTGATTGCGTTGGCAAGGGCTTCCAGTACTATGTTGAAAAAGAGTGGAGAAAGTGGGCATCCTTGTCTTGTACCTGTTTTTAGTGGGAAAGCTTTCAGCTTTTCTCCATTCAGGATGATATTCCCAATGAGTTTTTCATAGATAGCTTTTATTGTGTTGAGAAATGACCCTTGTATGCCAATTTTGCTGAGCGTCTTGAGCATAAAGGGATGTTGCGGCACTTTTCACGATTGCTAAGACATGGAACCAACCCAAATGCCCTCGTATGGCTGAATGCATTGAAAAACTGGCACGTATATGCTATGGAAAACTATTCAGCCACTGAAAACAACAAAACCCTGGCTTTTCACAAAAAGTGGAAAAATATGGAAGATTTACTGCTGAGTGAAGCAAGCCAGGCTATGAAGGAGAGACTCTGTATGTCCCCACTTAATATATACTGAATGTGTATGCTCTATAACTGAAACTGATGGACTAAAGGATGTACAAACACAAGAGGTGGATGTGAATACCAGATGTGGTGTGTGTGGAGGAGTGGGGCCTGGGGAAGGACATTTGGAGTAGGGATACGAAGATAGCATTTTTTTTTATTTTTTATTATCATCATAATCTTCTTTATATTACATTGGATTACATATAACTTTACAGTGTATTACATTGCTTTTTCAAAAGGGAATGCCATGCATGTCAGTCAGTACAGAGACATTAATCTCCCCACTTGAAGACAGCATTGTTGAGACAGGGAGGTAATGTAGTTATATTTTTGTCAAATCGACCGGGGAGAAATGTTCTTATATTGAAATGATCGCCTTGTAAGTTAAATCATGTGATTGAATGTATTAAAAAATGTAAAATAAATAAATAAATAAAAACAGTCTCAGAATAATACTAACATTATGAATGTACAACTCTGTGAATATGCCAAAAAACACTGAATTGTACTTTAAAAGGTTGAGTTTTATGATATATGAATTATATCTCAGTAAAACTATTTTTAAAAGTAGATAACCAAAATCTTTTTGGAGAGTACATCTGATAGGAATATGTAAGCTGAATAGGGAAATGGACTCAGGTAGGGGCCCAATGGTAGTACAGCAGTAGGATAAGGCTCCACAGTGATCAATCCACATGAGAGAGTCCTGGGTTCACCTCTAAAGGTCTTCCCCACACACTAGGCATGTGTGCATGTGTCTATAATCTCAACTAGCTGGGAGTGGATCACAGACCCTGTTGGGGATCCTTCTCTGTCTCTCTCAGAAGAGATGCATAAATAAAATTTTAAAGGAAAAATAAGGGAGAAAAAAAAACAACCCTCAGAATGGGAAAATATTTTTGTTAAATATGCCTCAGACAAGGGACTGATAACGAGAATACATAGGGAACTCAAGTGCCTTATGCGAAAAAAAATGATTAACCCGATTAAAAGATGGGAAAGTGAGCTGAACAAAAGTCTCTCTAAGGAAGACATACGAACAGCCAAAAAGCATATGAGGAAATGCTCGACATCCCTCATCATAAGGGAAATGCAGATAAAAACCACAATGAGATACCACCTAACCCCTGTCAGAATGGCAAAGATTAAGAATATAAAAAGTGATAAGTGTTGGCGGGGATGTGGTGAAAAGGGAACCCTCCTACACTGTTGGTGGGAATGTAAACTAGTTCAACCACTGTGGAGAACAATATGGAGGTTCCTCAAAGATCTACAAATAGAACTACCATTTGATCCAGCAATCCCACTTCTGGGTATTTACCCAAAAGACAGGAGAACGCTCAGTCAGAAAAGTGCTTGCACATCCATGTTTATTGCAGCATTATTCACAATTGCCAAGACATGGAACCAACCTAAATGTCCACAAACTGATGAATGGATTGGAAAAGTGTGGTATATATACTCTATGGAATACTACTCAGCCATAAAAAATAACAAGACCCTGGAATTTGATAGAAAATGGTCAGATATGGAGGATCTATTGCTGAGTGAAGTAAGCCAGGCTATGAAAGAAAGATATTGTATGTATCCACTCAATATATACCGACTATCCGCACTCTATAATAGAGAGCAAAAATTCGGAGGACATAAACACAGTGAAGGTACTTAATGAGAATAGGACAGTGTGGAATGGGGTAAGTGAAGAGAAGAGGATAGAGAAAGATAGCAAGTGAACAATAGAGAGACAGGACGTTAGTGAGAAACAGATAGGGGTTATTAACTGTTGATGATGACATGTATAGTATTCTCAACTGGATTGGTCTGAGAAGTATTTCATGATGGGCAAAGTATTTTTACAAGCAAAATGAGAAATAGCAATTGACTGTTTTATAAAAATAATTAGAATAATAAAAATAATGATTGGGGAAAACAGAAAAGATATGGAATGTTGAAGTGGGGAGATTAATGTCTCTGTACTGACTGACATGCATGGCATTCCCTTTTGAAAAAACAATGTAATACACTGTAAAGTTATATGTAATCCAATGTAATATAAAGAAGATTATGATGATAATAAAAATTAAAAAAATAAATAAATTTTTAAAAAAAGAGTCTAGGCTTATGACTAACATGAGCCTGGCTTCATATAAGTCAGTGACAGATGAGAACTGTTTAAGAGGCATGGTCACTGCAGTAACAAAAAAAAAAACAGATGTTTACTATTACTGGGGGGAGGTGGCATTTAAAAGACACATATGGGACAAAAGAACTGTGCAGAAGCTGGCAGGTGAACACCAACTTCAGGAGTGGCCTGATGAGTGAGAGACATGGGAGGGCGTGTCAGTCTGTTTCTAGTGTTTATGTCCCTGTCTTCTAACAGCACCACAAAGCCCCAAACTTTTCCCAAGATCTTCCTGAAAACTCCTTCAGAAGGCCTTAACCTTGACTGATAAGTTGAGACCAGAGCCTACATCAATCCAACTTACCTAGAAAGCTCCAAGTTGGGATTTTTACTTCTGCTGGGTGTGGCTCTTCCACCTCCAACTTGAGGATGAGATCTGGTTTAGCAACCTGCCGCCCTGTTAATGAGAAATGACCAGGCCCCTGAGAAAGGAAGTTGCTGTGTGGGGACTTCACAAAGGACCTATTGCTTAACACAGAGGTAAAATCAAATCATCTGCCTTGGGTTTTGATTTCCTAAACACTTTGTCAGGACAGAAAAATAGAATATTAGAAAGAAAATGCCCTCTACTGGATAAAGTTAATTATAAACTACCCAAGGAAGTATAATTACCCAAGGAAGCCCTTCTTACCCGCAGAGACCAGGTTGCTGTAGTTCTCCAGCATCACATCTCTATATAGGGTCCTCTGTGGAGGGTTCAGATACTGCCACTCCTCCTTGGTGAAATCCACAGCCACATCCTCAAATGTCACTAGTCCCTGTAAGGGTACATTCCTTTTACTCTAAAACACTGACAGAAAGAATGCAGGAAAAGTTCTTACTGTGTTCCTGGTTCATCATGATGACTTCATATAGAGTATCTAATTTTTTAAAGAATTGTTTAATTTTTATGTTATTATTACTTTTTTATTTGACCAGAGAGAGACAGAGCGAGATAGAAAGGGAAAGTAAGAAAGCATGCCGCCAGGCCTGGGACCCAAATCATAATCAGCCATGTGGAAGTCCAGTGCCTTAACCACCATGCCACCTGCTGGCCCCAAGGATATCTATTTTATATCAAGTTAGTGCTATACTATTGTGGGAGAATCACAAATCATGGTAAAAAAAACTATTCCATTACACAATACAATGTTTAATATGAGGGGCTACTGGGATGAGCAAGTGGCATGCTGGTTAAGGAGCTGGACACTCCCACATGCCTGACCACAGTTCAAGTCTCAGACCTAGTGGCTGGCTTTCTTACTTTCTTTCTCTCACTTTCTCTTTGTCTCTCTCTCTAGTCAAATTAAAATAAATGAATTAATAAATAAAATTAAATAAATAATTTTTAAAACATGATGTGCTATTAACATGAGGCTAGACAAAAAGTCCAGTGGAACTAAAAAGAGAATCTTAACATGTGTAGACACATGATTTATTGTAGAAAAATGATTTATGTCAGTATGTTGTCTTCACAGTACAACAGCAGGGAAAGGATGATCTTTTCCATAAATAAAGATGAGTTACTGAATATTTAAATGGGGGAAAATGAAATTTAATCTCTTTAAGCATGTGTAAAATTCAGAGTTACAGGTAAACTATAAATCTAATTTGAGAGGTAACACAATAAAGCATCTATAAAATAATATAGGAAAATGTTTTAATAAGATTGGGATAGGGACAGAATTCTAAATCAAGACATAAAAACCACTACTCATAAAAGAAAAGACTTTTAAATATTTCAAGGCCCAATGGCAAAAACCCCCCCAAAAAAAAAAAAAAAAGATTAAAAGTATGACAGTGACATTTATAGCAAAAAAGAAGGATGAATTTAGAGGAAATAATGCTAATTGAAATAAGCCAAGCTCTGAAAGATAAATATGATGCATAAGTCTTCATTCATTAGAGGAAGCTAAAAGACTCAATCACACAGAAGTAGAGTATGATGGTGGATATCATAAGATGAAAAGGGGAGTAAGGGGAGAACTTGGTTGACAGATACAAGAATTCATGTAAATAAGTGAAATTGGTTACAGAATATTATACCACAGTACAGAACTTTGGTGACAATTTAATATGTATTTGAAAATCACCAGAACAACAGATTTTGAATATGTACAACTCAAAGTAATGATAAACACTAAAGATAGAAGACACATTTATTTTCCAGATTTTATCATTACACACTATATACATGCTTTGAAAAACCACACTGTACCTCACAGAGATGTATAACTATTACACATAAATTAGAAATAGCAATAAAATTATTATAAATCTTAAAAGTATAACAATAAAAGGCAAACAATACGGATGTAAAGATTATCTATAATATTCATGAATGATAAAATACTACTCTCTGCAATATATAAAATAACCCCTACAAATCAATAAGAAATATACAAACAACACAAAAGAGCAGACGAGAGAGATGAAGAGTTACTTCACTAAAAAGGAAAACCAAATGACCTGAGAACATAAGAAAATGTACTCTACCTCAATGGTTACTCAGATAAGTGAAATTTTGTTTTGTTTTGTTTTGTTTGTTTTTAACCTCTTTCAATATTTAATTTATGATTTACATATAATTTTTACAGATCTTTGTAGGTTACAGAATGGTTTTCAAAAGAGTATATACAATGTGTAATAAACAAACTGAGGCTATAAACGTATTCACCATCTTCAACATTTAACATTATGTTGTGAACCTTCAAAACCCGCTCCAATGGTTATTCTGCAAATGTACACTGAATTATCTGTAACATTCTTTACTGTGAGGTACAGTTCTAAGAAAAACATACTGATTAAAAATCAGGCAACAACATCTCATAAATTAACAAAGAGAATCTTAACATAGCCAATGAAAGAATAATTTCTAATTTCTATCTAGAGGACTATGGGAGATAAGAGTTTATAATCTGAAAAATCTGTGGGTATCAATCATTGGTCTAGTTAGAGCAAGGTAAAATTGTACATCACAATAACTCATTAGGAAGAAACTCACACACTGTAAGTTCCTGTAAGACCATAGTACTGTACTGTGCATAAAGAAATAAGCAAAGATAAAACAAAATTGGAAAAAGTGAAGTTTTTAAAAAGTTTAAAAGTGAAGACATGATAAAGCCTGGGATTTGGTGATTTTTAGGCATTACAAAATTCTTTTTTTCCTTTTTTTTCATTTCATTTTCTTCCATACATTCAATCACATTACTATTTGTCTTACAAAATGGATATTTCAACAGGTGAACATTTCTCCCTAGTACAGTTGATAAAACTACAAAATATCTTCAACAGATAATACCACACCTCTTTGTGCCATTAAAGCTTTGCCTCCCTGTCCCTCCCCCAAATGTCCATTGAGACATCACAATGTACTCACTAGAAAATTTATAATTAGGCAGACAAAAATACAATTATGTTATGTTAAAATGGAAAAAAATAGGGAGGCAAAGTATTAATGGGACAAAGAAATGTGGTATTATCTGTTGAAGATATTTTATAGTTTTACCAACTGGACTAGGGAGAAATGCTCACATGTTGAAATATTCACTTTGTAAGCTAAATAATGTGATTGAATGTATAAAAGAAAATGAAATTTTAAAATGTAAAAAAATAAAAAATAAAATGGAAACTCTCATACGCTATTAGTAGGAATGTAAACTATTGGATTATCGAGAAAGTCATGATGCATTTTTGCATAGAAAAACATGTAAAAACATGTCATGACTTCCCCAGCCATCTAATAATATAATTGCTTTGGGAAACAGTTTGCCATTATTTGTTAAAGGTAATGATTTGTACATATCATGACCCAACAAGTGTAAGCACACACCTTAAAGAAAAGGATGAACATGTGCTCTAGAAAATAGGCCACACTGTTCCTAATACTATTAAGTCATGGAAGAAATCCAAATGTCCACCAGCCATAGAAAGGTAAGTTTTGGCATAATCATTCAATGAAATGCTGTATGGTAATGAAAAGGAATGAGCTACAACTGCACGTTGTGAAGTATAACCTAATGTGCTGGTTACTGCCCAGAGGCAGGTGAGAGACAGAACACCTACGCACATGGCAAGATAAACAGAGCAGGTTTATTACTTACAAACAGGCAGCCAAGGACAGCAGAGCCTAGAAGTTATTACAAGCTGCCCCCTCCCCCAAGGTTCAGGAAAGCTGTCAGGGGCAGATAGAATCTCATCTGCATGTGCCCCACTAGCACCACAGCTGACGTACCCTGGAAAGCAGTCGATCATGGGTTTTATATTCCAGGGCAATATAAGTCGCTGGGCTAAAGCACTGAAGGCTATTTTGTTTGTAGGGAGGAATGAAACAAAACCCAGGCTGTTTCAGCCAGTTCCTCCATAGTTCAGGATTTTACATTCTCAGCATATTCTACAGTTATTCTTGAGAACTATAAGTGTAAAAGGGAGGAGTACTAAGTTGGACCAAGGCCACCAAGAGAACTATCCTGCATATGCCCTAACATAGATGGATGTCACACATTACTGATGAGCAAAACAAACCAGAAACAAAACAATACATACTTCATGATTCTATCTATATATAATAAGAGAACAGCTAAGGCTTGTGGGAAGCTGCACACCAGCGAGTCTGTGTCGTCTTCTCGGTCGTCTGTATGGTCTGGCTACTGTGGGCCAGGCATCGTGGTTATATACACTCTGGTGGGTTGTAAACGGTGGGTCGTGATTGGTTGTAAACGGAGGACTGTGATTGGTTGTAAACGGTGGGCCCTGATTGGTTGTTAACAGTGGGTTATGATTGGTTGCTTTTGGACCAATCATGAGGTGCCGGATATGCAAATTTGAGGGATTCTAGTGGCCAATCAGAGCAAGGTTTCGAAGGTCAGGTTTTTGGAAGGGAGCCAATCATGGTAATTGTTTGCCCTCTGAGAAACCTCGGCAGACTCGCTGGTGTGCAGCTTCCCACAAAGGCTAATCTATGATGTTGGAAGTCAGGAGAGGACATTTCGAGATCCTTAGGGCCTGTTATATTCTACCTCTTGGCCTAAACAGTGGCTATACAGTGTGTTTGCTTAGTGATAATTCAAGTTACATATTCATACATACATACTTTACATACATACTCACACACATACATACATTACATGCATACATTACACACATGCATACTCATACACACATGCTTTATATGTATACTTTACATGCACACATACATTACATGCTCATTACATGCAAGTTACATGCATACTGTGGAATTTATGTATGTTATATTTAAATATATATCTTTATATACATTTATAAATGTAATTTTATATCTTTATACATAACAATTATTTTAGATGAAACTCTAGAAGAAATTAAATGGAAATTGGGAATTCTTATTTCAAAGAATAGTTCTGGAACAACTGGATAGTCTTATGAACCCACAAAAAAGAACCTTAATCAATACCTCCAACATATATAAAAATTAACTCAAAAATGGTCACGGACTTAAATGTAAAATCTGAACCTATAATATTCTGAGAAAAAAATATAGTAGAAGATTCGTCATATGTCCTAGATGTGACAGCAAAAGTCAGAGATACTGTTAAGAGAGTGAAAACAAAAATCACTAAATTTAAGAAAACATTTGTAAATCAAATATCTGGCAAAGAACTTGTAATGAGGATATATACAGAACTCACAAAACATTAAAAAAAGGGTCATCTGGGGCTGGCAGGTGGTGTGGTGGCATTGGACTCTCACAAGGCTGACCACAGTTTCAGTCTCAGACATGATGGCTTGAAACTCACACTGG